GTTTTCTGCTGGCTTTGTATAGCTCTTGGTTTTCCTCCTGAGGACAGCTTTGGCCTCTTGAAGAAAAAGCAAAGCACTTGATCTTCATTATTCTTTGTAACGTACGGATGTGAACAGAATGCTCCCAAAGAAGCACAAAGATCATTAACCGTAAAGAGAAATTCCTTTGTCAACCCAGATTCAGTTGCTATAACAAGCGATACTGCTGCTGTACACATCTTGCCTTTTCTGCATCCTTAGACCACCATGGTGACAACATCACTGCTGCAGGTGCGGTTTCTCCCGTTCTCTGGGGCTTTTTCTGTAAGGACCTTTATGATACACTTTACTGATGTGCAGGGCTTGTTCCTGCTCCTCTGGGATCCAGCAGGAACTTTCTCACCTCGGTGGCAACAAAATCTCACAAGCTGCTTTGTTTCTCCTTACTGCACCCTTTCCTCAGCCTGCTGAAGCTGAAAATGCTGCGGGCGAGGGGTGTCTGCGTAGCTGACAGCACAGGTAGCTCTCTCCTCCGACTTGTGCAGCTTGGTGACAGCCCTCCGGGAATCACTTGCCCCATTCTGCAGCATTGTCATGTCCAGGTTGGGGTGGAGGAGGCTGCTCTGGATTTCTGGTCAAATGACCCATATGTCCTGAACTGATGCTCTGAGGCCCGAGGGAGGCAGTGAAACGAAGACAGGTGTCGGGTGGTCTTCTGTATTTTAATGGAACGGCAGAAAGAAAATCTCAGCTGCGGTGTCTCCCCTAGAACAAAGCCTCCTCTGTCCCTTGCTGCAGATTGTGCCCCCCCAGGGCATTGTTTTGATTGTTTGTTCCTCCTTCCTAGATTTCTGCCCCGGGATCTGCTCTTGCCTGTCAGGACACATAATGGCTGCTGGCAGATTGTCAGCCAAGACGCTCTTGTTGGTGGAGAGGATTTTGGGACTGTGTTGTGCCGTTAGAATATAAGATATCGCAGAGATCTTTAAAGCATCCAGAGCATCACAGTAGGGCAGAGGTCTGGAGCATGAGAATGTGCAGAGAGTTGTAGGAGCCACCTTGTGCTGGCAGGTAACTCGCCTGCAGATCTCAAAGCTCATAGCCCTGAAGCGGGGACTGAGCCTGCAAATGAAGGAAGCAGCACCTTCCTTGCTCCTGTCCCCCGAGCAATAGGCAGGCTTGGCTTTTGTGAAGGATGTATTAGAAATATGAGTATTTTTATTTCCTGACAGCTGTTGTTTGAACTGTCTAGTGATTCTGAAGATGCACAAACACTCCCTCCTGGTTCTGCTTGTACTCAGCAGCATTGCAGTCAGAATTCGTGGTTAGTTTCTGACAATAACATCTGAAAAACCAGTTTGCCTGTTTCATCCGTTTGCAGCAATTTCTGGTCTTTTCTAGCACAGCTGTTTTAGTGGAGAAGCCAGAAGCATTAGTGAGGGGTACGTGTGTTTGTGTGAGATAAATTGCTGTAGGAATTATTGCCAGCCTGAACTGGAAAAGGCTGGTCAAAAGCTACGTGTGGCACTGCGACAGGCAAGACTGTAGCCATTGAAGGAAGATGGGGAAGTATGGGCATATCTGTTGGCTGCAATGTGGAGAAAACATGGGGAGGGGACGTTAATTGAATCTTTTGGCTTTCTCAGTGATTCTTCATCAGCTTGGTGTGGGAGTGTTGCTCCTCGTTGTGCCTTAGATTGTGCATCAGAGACCGGTAAGCGCAGTATGACTTTCCAGATGTGCTGATGCTGCGGTGCCTAGCTCAGGAGAATAGTAATCTCAAACCTTGTGTGCCTGTTGTGAGACTTTTTATTAGTTCCTTTTCCTTGGTTGTTTGGAGATACAGTCAGAATACTTCCCTTCTGCTGTACACAGTATGTTTTCCTATGCCTGCTGGAAGAGAGGTGAAAAGCTAAAGTGGTGAAATGCCTTGCCCTGGTTTCACAAAGCAACGCAGCTGTTGGTTGAATCACAGTTGCCCAGTCTTGGTGCTTTGGTCACAAAAGCCTTTCCTATCCCAGGTAGACTGGAGTTCCCATATTCTTTCTTGGTGTGAGCCATGCCCATCCTATTCTATCGCCCTGTCACAGCCTATGGGCACTGTCTCTGTGATGCCTCTGACACCTCTAAAACCAGTGAGGTCTGCATGGGGATGGATGGTGTGTTGTGCCAGGTGCAAGTGGGGAGAAAAGCTTCGGTTACTGACTAGAGATTTTGGTAAGCTGGCAGCTCCCGGTATGGCATTTCTTGCCGTGCCCACAGACTGTGGGGAGTCACTGGGTGTAGCTGGTGGCTGGCTGTCCAACCCTGTGATTCCAGCCAGGTGTTTTTCCATGCTGTCCTGTGGTACGTTAGTAAGGAGGAGACATCCAGCTGCTGATGAAACACCATTGCAATTAGTGTTTCTTCTTTTACCTTCCATGCTACCCTAATTATGCCCTTGTGCTTTGTTAACAAGGTGAGCACTATTCTTGGCTGGATTCGGCAGCTTTGTGGAAGCTGCTGCCTCCCTTTGCTTCTTCAGTGTCACACTGAGAAATATTAACAGACCCTCTGGTATTTTGGGATCTCAAATGATCAGGTGATGCTCAAGAGCATCAGGAGTAGAGTGTGGGAGTGAGGGAATGGGTAATGGGTTTGGAAGACTGATCCCAAATGCCAACAGGCAGAGAGACGGGGACTGTTCAGGAAAAGGGCTTCCCAGCAGGGTGGGGGTGTGGGGGGCTGGTGGGGATCCCGCCAGGTTTTGGCAGAGCTGCGCTGGGAGGTTGCAGGGGCATCCTTGTGGGGCAGCACCTCTGCCCGCAGAAATGGCTGCTCACACAAGGCACCACACCAGCGACAAATGGGCTGTGGCTGGCTCCGTGGAGACGAGTTGAGACACAGTCAGCGGTGGAGGTGAGGCCGGCAAGCCCCGCAGG